AGGGTGGAGGGACAGCACAGGAGGGGAAGACCCTCTAGGAGGTGGATTGATTCAGTGACTGAGGTAATTGGGTTGGGTGTGTCAGATGCAGTCCAGTTGGCACAGGATAGAGCGGGTTTTAGGGCTGTTGTACGTAGGGTTGCTATGAGTCGCAAACGGCTTGACGCCACGTAACAACAATAACAACAACAACATATTTGGTACATAAATTTTGACCGATGTTATGTCCTCTTGATCTATTGTTCCTTTAATCACTATATATTACCTTTCTTATCTTTTTTGATTATTTTAATTTTGAAGTCTATTTTTTCAGAAATTAGTATTTCCACTCCTGCTTTTTTGTGGATGCCATTTACCTGGTATATTTTTTTCCAGCCTTTGATTTTGAGTCTTTCTATGTATGTATGTATGTATGTACATATGTATGTATGTATGTGTGTGTGTGTATGTATGTATTTATACATTTTGTCTCTTGTAGACAAAATATTGATGGACTTTGCTTTTTTTATCATCCATTTTGCTACTCTTTTTTCCCCCCCTTGATTGGTGCATTAATTCCTTTCATATTAAGTGTGATGAGTGACAGGCCAGGCTTTATTGTTGTCATTTAGTTGTGTTTAATATTCTGTTGTTGTTTCTTTTTACTATGGTGTACCCACTTTCCTTTAGAGTGTCTGTGTGTAGGACTTTCCTTTAAAATTCTTCCAGGTTTGTTCTTGTTTCCACAAATTCCTTAAGTTCTTTCTTTTCTGCAAAGAATGTGATATCTCCTTTGTATTTGATGGAGAACTTCACTGGGTATAGGATCTTGGTTGGCTTGGCAGTTGTTTTCCTTCAGCTTTCTTAATATACCATCTCATTGTCTTCTTGCTCTCATGGTTTCTGCTGAAAAATCAGAACTTAATCTGGTTGCTTTTATTTTGCAGATGACTTTTTGTTTTTCTTGTGCTACTCTTGATATTCTACCTATATCCTTTATTTTGGAGAATTTGACTATGATATGACTGGATATTTTCTTTTTTAGGTCTAGTCTGTTTGTTGTTCACTGAGCTTCCTGCATGTGTATTTCCTCATTCTTCATAATACCTTGGATGTTTTCTTCTAGGACGTCTTCCACAATTTTCTCAGTGATTTCTCTATCCTGGTCATATTCTGAAATTCCAGTCAAACATATATTATTCCTTTTGATGTCATCCACATAATTCTAATATTTTCTTCATTTTCTTTATGTTTCATCTCTGATGTTTCTTCTAGTATATTTCCATTGCAGTTCTTGTCTTCCAGCTCACTGACTCCCTGTGCCATCTCTTTATTCTACATTTCATCCTTCCAAGGTGTTGGACACTTCTGCCATTTCATTCTTAATGTTCTGGATTGCATTTTCATGACTTTCTGGTATTTCTAGTACTGTGTTGGCAGTATCCTCTCTATCTTATGATGATTTTTTAAGTTCTCATACTAATCTTCCTTTTTTTTTGCATTTTCTTTCCTATTTGTTCAAGTTCCTTCTTATCAACGTATTTCTTCTGTGCCTGTGTCTTTGGAGCATTTGCTTTCTTGTTGATTTCCATTGTTTCTTCCATAATTTGTACCTTTTCCCAAAGCAGTTCAAATAACTCTTCATCAATATATATTTTTTTTTCAGGTTTTCTACCTCTTCCCTTTATCTGTGGTATCCATTGTTTCTTTTAGCATTTATACTATTATTCATAGCTGTTTGAAAGTCTGTCTATAAACATATGTCATTTGCCTTCTTGACTCTAGGGTGTTTATTGAGGTCTCTGATATTCTCTGTTTTGGGGGTTTTTGTTGTTGTTGTTTTGGTTTGGTTTTGGAGGTTATTTTAAGAAGGCTTAATTTGTTTTTTCATGGTGTTTGAAACTGCCTGCTCCTTTCTTTACATTATGTGAAGTTTTTCTTGATAAGTGTTAAATAATTTCTGTTGTATCTGTGTAAGTTGTTGCTGGTACACCTATATAATGTTACTAGTTAGTTGCCAAGTTAAAATGTGGTAAAGTATTCACTCCATTGTAAGTCCTTTTGGAGGGGGGAAGTGTCTTTCCTTAAATCTTTGAGGTTCTCTCTGTTCTGCACTGCAGCCCCGTAGGATTCCCACCTTAAAGTAGTCCCCTGACATCAACTCTATAGGCCTCTTTCATAAATGAAGTGGCTGCATGGTGTGAGACCAGGTGGTCTACTCAAGCAGTTTCTCATGCACCTTTTCTCCTGGAGCTTAATGTCTTTCTTTGTCTCTGGAGTGGCACGAGATTAGAGATGCAGGCTGCCAGCTCAAGCAGCTTGTGTGCAGGGTTTCTGAGCTACAAAAATAGCTTCCCCCTGCCTGAAGTTCTCTGTACTAAAAATCTCTTGTCCTTTTTGGTCCCTGGAGTGACCCTGCACCTACAGAGGCAAGGACCCCCACATAAATGTACCTACAACCCCAGGGGTGCCTCAGTCCTGTCTCCCCACAAGCAGTGGAGAATGCTTGCTCTTGGCACAGAGTCCCCACCACTTCTGACCTTTTCTTCTACAGCTTGGTGTGCTCCTTTGTCTCTAGTGTGGTGGGAGATCAGATTCCAGCGTGGGCCACCTATATGCACCCATCTTTCTCCTGTAGAGCAGCTTGTGCATTTCAACCTTCAACCTTTTGGTTAGCTGCACAATATGTAATAAAACATGCCAACAGACTTTCCCAAGAATGGGATCACTCACTCACTGCTGTTTAGTTGGTTTCTGAGGCTATAAATCACAAGAGGAGAACATTGCCCCTCTTTCTTCTGTGAAGCTACTGGTGAATTCAAACTGCCAGTCAAGTGGGGTCTTTGGGTTAGCAGTGCAACCTTGCAAAGAGAAAAAATAATGAGTGAAAAAGAAAGTTATGGTCTCTCTTAATATTATTCATTCATGTTGAGTCAGAACAGACTCCTAGCTGACCCTGCTGTGGCTTTTGAGAGACTTGCAGATCTCATGGGAGGAGATTTCCCATCATTCTCTCAGAAAGCCACCGAGGGACTCCAACAGCCAGAGGTGCCACCTTTGGACAAGCAGCATAATTCCCTTCCAGCTATGCTATCTGAGCCTTCTTAATATTAGTATTTACAATATAACATTGACTTGGTATAAAGGTGCTTAGATGAAGAAATGATTGTGCTTATCTACTAATTTTAAAATTTAAGATTTTAACCCATCCAACAGTCCTGCAGGGGAAAGACATGGGAAGTTTGTTAAAAGATTACAACCAAGACAGTCATACTGTAGCCTAATTTTATTCTATAACAAGTGGGCCAGATTTAGGTCAACAGCAGTGGACTTGGTGTGATTTGCACATGACATATTACAGGTTTTCTAGTATGTATATAAATTCTTTATGATTATTTAAATGTTCATGTATGTATATAGGGAGAAAAAGAGACATATGAGAGAAGGGGAAAATTGTGTCATCATGTAGAAACTTAAAAATAATAAGGGCCTGACACTGTGCAGCATTCATAGAGAGAACTATCTGTCATTTGTTTCAGAGGCCTTGATGTTCTCAGCAAAAAAGTGAAGACAACCCCCGTGGATTTGCCCATCGAGTCTGTCAGTCTCAGTCTCCAGGATCTGATCGGCTACTTCCACCCTCCAGATGAGCACTTGGAGCACGAGGACAAGCAAAACCGGCTGCGGGCTCTTAAGAACCGCCAGAATCTCTTCCAGGAAGAGGTGCATTCCGCCCAATGCCCATTTCTCCTCTGGTTTGCTCTGAGCATATAGCTTCCATAAACAGGCCATAGGGAAATAATGAAATTATTTTTCTTTCTCTATAACTAGTTAAGTTTTAAAGAGGTAACTTCTCACTGTTCAGGCACAGAACATCTAATTTTTTTTTCCCTACTTGACCTTACTCATCATTCCTAAATTGAGATCAAGTTGTCTACATGAAGATAGAATCCTTAAAAGGTGGAATGAGTAAAGATTTTATGAAGTGTCAGCAATCTTAGAGGCTCTGGGAAGATGTGAATTATCCCCCAGAGAGTTTAGGGATAGGGAAGGAACCTTTGGCTTAGAGGAACAGCTTCCTGTTTTGACAGAGCAACCCCCACTTGCCCTTCTCAAAATTGTTAGTTTCTTTGGATGTTTTTGTTTTACACAAAAGAGATTTATACTGCCAAGAAATTGTGTGAATGCACAAGTTTATTAATATAATACCAGTAGAAATAATCATCTTATGTCCTCATGGTAGTGTCAGACTGAGTGACATTAAGTGTTTCAGTGGAAGCATTTCAGAGCTGATGGCTAATAAGGAAGGCTAGTTCAGAAAATATGTAATTCTCTTCAGTGCTGCTCTATTTAAGGACCTTTTTTAAAGTGCTTAAGAATGAGCATGTTCATTTAAAGACAAAGATGTACCTGACCCAAGCCATATTATTTGATAAATTTGAAAGTTGGACAATAAATAATGGAGACCTATGAACTGATACCTTTGAATTATGGTATCCGTAAAGAATATTGAACTTAAGATTGGCAAAAGGACACACAAATCTGCATAGGAGAAAGTATAACTGGTGCTACTTAGAGGCAAGAATGGTGAAATTTTATCTCAGATATTTTGGTCATGATGACAGGAGGGACTAGTCTTTGGAAAATTATACTATGCTGGAAATGGTAGAAAGTCAGCAAAAGAGAAGAAGAAACTTTAGTGGTGTGTGAGTGAAGAAACTTTCCTGGGGAAAGGTCTCTCCATTTGAGGATCCTTGCTTCCACCACTACAAGGCCATCCCAGGTGCCAAACAGGACAAGAGAGTTTGGGAAACAGCTACAAGAATGGGAAAGGCATTCTCAGCTTTATGCAAGAAGGAAAACTGACTTGAGATCCCCTGCATACAAACTGCTTAAGTAGGCACCCCTGATCTTGCACCACTCCAGAAACACAGGAAGACATTAAGCTTCAGGAGAGAAGGCACAGCACCACCTTGTGAGATATTCTTCCCCAGAGCCAGCACTTTAGGTGCATACTGGGGGAGAGAAGGGACTGAAATTTCCTTGAGGAAAGATCCCTCCATTTGGGGATCTTTTCCTCCGCCTCTGTAAAGCAATCCCAGATGCCAAACAAGACCAGAGTTTTGAACAGAGAGCTAAAAGCAAAGGAAAGGCTTTCTAAGCTGGCAGGTTGAGCTGTGAAAATGAGAGCTGACTTGAAATGCCCCTGGACTTAAACTACTCAAGTTGAGCACCTGGTCTTGCATCACTCAGCAACTCTGTAATTGATGGGAGACAATAGAATTTGGGAGAGGAGACTACAATAAGGAAAAATTCCTACAAGATTGCAGTGTAGATCAGAGTGAACCTGAAGCATTTTAGAAAAGGCAAATTTTACCAAAAAGTACTTTCAGTAGAGTGAGTTGTTAACATCAAAGGTTAAATATTTTAAACTGGAGATTAGTCACTAACATTGTAAAGACAATGAATGCAGGCATAATAGGAACAGCTGGCCTACCAATTATCAAGAAAAACTTCATATAATGTCAAGAAAGCAGTAGGCAGCTTCAAATACTGAAAATAAAAAGCAACCAAACAACAACTTAGGCTCTCTCCAAAAAAGAAGATAATATTGTAGACTCAGTAAATACACCAGAATAAAGAAGGCAGAAGATATATGTAGATATGGGGGCATTTTAACAGCTACAAAAAGAAAAAAAGGAAAAACAAAGAAAAAGAAAAAATGCAATCAGAATATATGAAGACTGAAATGGCAGATATGCCCAACACATTCGAGGGATGAAACAGTAGAACAGAAGAGATGGATCAGAGAGTCAGTGAGTTGGAAGACAAGTACCTGAGTGGGAACACTCTAGAAGAAAAATCAGAGATGAAATGTAAAAAAAAAAAAAAGAAAGTTAAAATCATGTGGGATGACATCAAGGATAAACATAATTATAATTGGAATTCCAGAATACGAAAGGGAGAGAGAAATCACTAAGAAAATTGTGGAAGAGACACTAGAAGAAAACTTCATGGGTATTATGAAGAAAAAGAAATACACAGTAAAGAGGCTCAGTGAATATCAAATAGCTGTTGTTGTTCTTGTTGTTAGATGTTGTCTAGTCAACTACAAATCATAGTGACCCTGTGAAAAAAAGATCTGAAACTTGTTCTATCCTGTGTCATCATCACACTTCCTGACACAAAGAGCCCATTGTGGCAGACACCATGTCAATCCATCTGGTTGAGGGTCGTCTTCTCCTTTGCCAGCTCACCACCTTTACCAGCAACATGTTCCTCTCCAAGGAATAGCCCCTCCTAGCAACATGCTCAAAGTATGTCAGGTGAAACCTCATCATTCTTGCCTTCAAAGAGCACTCTGGCTGCACTGTCTCCAAGACATAGCTATTTGTTCTCTTGGCCATCCATAGGATGTTCAGTAGTTGTTTTTTTTTTCCAACACCACAGCTCCAAGGCATCAATTCTTTTTCTGTCATCCATATTCATTGTCCAGCTAATCTAAAACACGATGGCTTGAATCAGATGCATTTTAGTCCTCAAACTGACATCATTACTCCTCAGTAATTTGGAGAGGTCCCAGATTGCAGATTTTCCCCAAGTTATGCATCTCCTTATTAACTGCTGGTATGTGTGTTAATTATGAATCCAAGAAAATGAAACTTGAGAGTTTCAGTCTCATCTTCATCCATCATGATGTTGCCTTTTGGTCAGTAGTAAGAATCTTTGTTTTCTTCACATTGAGATGCAATCCATACTGAAGGCTGCATTCCTTGATCTTCTGAAACAAATCCTCCTTACTTTAAAGCAAGCAAGGTTGTGTCATCTGCATAATACAGGTAATTGATGAGTCTTTCTCCAATGCTGATGCCGCACTCAGATGAGCTGTAGGATTATGTCAAGGAAACAGCAAAAGATCATTACAAAAACAGAGGAGAAGGGGTAAAAAAAAATGAAATTTATATCAGAAGAGATTCTAAAATTTGCACTGGAGCATCAATAATCCAAATCAAAAGAAAACATGCTGATGTAAAAGTGCTGAACAGATATTTTCAAAGAGCAGCATGAGAGGACAAAGCAAAGTATTATAATAGAAGTTGCAAAGAGCTGGAACTGGAGAACTAAAAGGGAAGAATTCACTCTACATTTCTCAAACTGAGAGAACTGAAAACAAATGTAAGCCAGTAATCACATTATTAAAAGACACTAAAGACAATATATTGAATGTCCCAGAAAGCATCAAAAGGAGATAGAGGAAATACACAGAATAACTGTAAATAGAAAGAAATTATTGATAGTGAAAAAAATTTAGGAAGTACCATATGAACAGGAACCAATGGTAATGAAAAAAGAAGTGAGAACTACATTGAAGACACTGACAAAAAATAAGGCCCCAGGAACTGATGAGATACCAATTAACTTGTTTCAGTTAACAGATATAACCTTAGATGCACTCACCAGTCTATGCCAAGAAATTTGGAGGGCAACTGTCTAGCCAATTGGAATTGGAAGAAATCTATATTTGTTTCCATTCTCAAGAAAGGTGATCCAACTGAGTGTGGGACACTATTGAGAACTATCATTAATATCACATACAAGCAAAATGCTACTGAAGATCATTGAAAAAAGGCTAGAAAAATATATAGATAAGGAACTATCATAAATTCAAGCAGGATTTGGAAGAGGCTATGGCAAAAGGGATATCATTGCAATGTCAAATATATCCTGGCTGAAAAGAATAATAGAAAAATATTAATTTGTGATTTATTGACTATGCAAAGACATTTGACTATGTGGATCAGAAAAAGTTGTGTCTGAAATGGAAAAGAACAGGAATCCCAGAGTCCTTAATTATGTTTAATGTGTGACCTATACCTGGACCTGGAGGCTATTGTGTGAACAAAACAGGGGAATACTGCATGATTTAAAATTAAGAAGGGAGTATGTCAGGGCTGTATTATCTTTTCATACCCATTCAATCTGTAAATAAAATACCAAATAGACTATACCCCAAAAGAAAAACATCAATACATATCGCAGTCAAATTCTCTAAAATAAAAGTAAGGATAGCATATTAAAAGCAGCATGAGGAAAAAAAAGCAGTATGAGAAAAACAAATAGTAACCTACAAAGGAAAAGCAATTAGATTAAGTTATGATTTCTCAGCAGAAACCATGTGATCAAGAAAAATAATGAGATGGCATATGCAGAAAGAAAATAATTGCCAACCAAGGATTCATCAAAACTTTCCATCAATTATGAAGTACAAATCAGATCCTTTGTAGAAAAGAAGAAACATAAGAAATTTGTGAAAACAAGACCAAATCTACAAGAACTTTTAAGGGAAGTCCTTTATATGGAGTCACCAAAGGAAAATGGATGGACCATAGTAGCTAGAAACAACAAACACGAGACGCTACAAATGACAATGATAAAACCTGACCTGTCAGTAATCATACTTAATATGAATGGACTAAATGCACCAATCAAGAGAAAATAAAGTAGCATAATGAGTAAAAAAATAAAGCCGAACAATATATTATCTGCAAGATACATATCTAAGAAATGAAGAGAAGGATAGACTAGAAATCAAAGACCAGAAAATAAATATACCAAACAAATGGCATCACCAAAAAAGCAGAGGTGAAAATACTGATCTCTAATAAAATAATCTTCAATATAAATCACCAGAAAATATGAGAAAGGGCACTATATAATGACGA